GCTTCTCCCAATAAGGGAGATAGCTAACGCTATTCTACCACAGAATTTGTTTGAAAGATAGTCAATATGATTCTTGTAAGTTAGGCGACTATCGAGATATAAGCCCAAGTAACGAACGACCGGGACCCACAGAATGTTGTCATCGAAAAGAGTGAGTTCAGTTTGGGGGTCAATGACGCCCCATTTCCTGAAAACAATGGCTTGTGTTTTTTCTACATTAATAGCTATTCTCCAATCTGTCAACCATTTCTCTAGTTTGACGAGGAATTGTTGCATAGTTTTAATTGTGTACTTGAGATTGACACCCTGGGTGAGCGCCGCCGAGTCATCTGCGAAAAGACATGTACTGATCGTGTGGTGCTCTGGAAAGTCATATGTGAATATGTTGTAAAGATACGGGGATAGTACCGAACCCTGCGGGGTACCACTTTGACAAAAACCCGTTTCAGAGAATGTGTTATTTACACGAACCCGGAAGGTTCTGTTGTGTAAATAATTGTGAATAATTTTAATTAAATAAGCAGGGAATTTGAGTTTTATCATTTTGTAAGTGAGGCCATCATGCCACATTTTGTCGAATGCTCTTTTGACATCCAAAAAGACACCTACAGTGTATAATTTGCTAGCGAAGCCTTCATTTATAATATTAGTGGCACGTATCAATTGATGTAGCGTAGAATGGCCCTCCCGGAAACCGCATTGTTCCGGGGGAATACAGTCTATGGCTTTGCAGTGAGATTTAATCCTGTTTAAAATTATTCTTTCGAAAATCTTAGCAGTGGTGTTTAATAATGAGATCGGCCTGTAATTTTGACTAAACTTATGATCCTGATTTGGCTTGGGCAACATGACTACATTTGCTATTTTCCACTGTGTCCGAAGGCGGCCGACTTTCGACTTTCAATTTGGGAACTGGAACCTAGGCAGATTCCTTCATCCCATATCTGGCATCTAAGGGTGCCTTGTGCTGCTGTACTTGGTTCGGTGGTTCAAGAGGTGTGGCCACTACGTGAAGGACCAATGGCGTACGAGGAGGTTGGAAGTAGGAATGCGATTGGATCCGTGAGCATTGGACTTTAAAGAAAAAATTTTCCGATCAGTTTTAGGAAGAAAAAAGTTAAAATTTGGAAATTAGGAACAATTATATTAATTAGAAGGAGTATGGAGAAATAAAAATTAATCCATAAACACATCCATTAACATAAGTGCTTGTTGTTTAAAATCTTTTGTTTTCTTGAGATCGGGGAGAATCCGAAGGCGGTGATTAACGGTGATTATTAAGTCTGAGGTATCGAGACTGCGCCAGCAGTCTTCTGCCCTCTATCTGGAACTGCGATGTTCGTTGTGTTGGAACTTTGTTGGAGGGGTGGGCGTGACTTCGAGAGAGATCCAATGTGATTGGCTGAAACCAGTTTCTGTGGTGTGGCTTTGAGATAGAATGGAAGTGAGCTCTTGGAATTGATTGCATGAACTTGATATTTTAAAAAGAATTAAAAGTTAAATATGGAAGAGTAAATTAAGTTTAAATAAAAGTAAAAAGGGAAAAAATTTTAGGTTGATTATAATGAGTAAAAATTAAAAATGATAAAGTTTAAACTTTATCCATAATTGCTTCTGCGAGAAGGCAGGTTTTTTCTTCATCTGAGTTAGCTTTTTAAATTTAGTGAGTAGATCTAGGATTTTGGGATTTTTCTTGACTAAATTAGAAATAATTTGAAGAGTTCTAATACTTGAGTTAAGTCTGAGGTATTGTTACTATCTTGACTAAGGAATCCATGGGGGGAATCTTCTTTTTTGTCATCAATAGGAATCTGATTGGGGACTTCGCCGCTAACAACGTTAGCGAAGGAAATTCCCTCTTTAATCCATTTAGAGGCGAAATTTCGCTTTTTCTTGGGGTCTCCGAAAGGGGTTCCTTTTTTCGGCTGGGGGAATTTTGGGGCATTTAGTGTAGCATGCCGAGTGACCGTAGTCTAATCCGAAGGCGGAAAACGAAAATTAGATGAGAACGAGCGACAGCGAGCTAGCGCTTCTGCTCAGTATGACGGAGAAAGTGTATCGGAAAGCCGATATCAGAAGAGTCCCAAACAAGGGGTGGGGCGGGAGAAACATAGAACTTGGTTTGTGAGCTACGATAAATAGGGTAAACTGACCCGGATGAGGGGAAGAAAATACTATTGAATAAATATGCTAGAATTACTCCATTAAAGCTTGAAGTATCAAGAACGCTTGTTGTTTAAAATCATTAGTTGCTTTAAGTGCTGGTAAAATACTTAATAGTTTTGGGCATTGCTTCACTATATTAGAAATAATTTTAAAAAGATCCATCAGGTTTTGTACATCATTAAAATTAGTATCAGCGGGGAGGGAAGATTTGAAGGAACTTTGATTTTCACGATTATTTTTTTGGATTGGTGGCTGAGGAGTGGTATTATTGTGGGTTTTTCCCGAAACAACATTGGCAAAAGATATACTTTCTTTAACATTATTAGCGTTGAATGTATTTTTATTTCTACTTATTGTGGGGGGCTGACTTTGGTTTAGGAAATCTAGGGCATTTCGTGTAGCAGGCAGTATGCCCGTACACGTGGCAGTTAATACAAAAAGGGTTTTCAATTCTCTGGGTTATTATACATTCTTTGGTCATATGGTTCTTTCCACATTTTATGCATCTTGGTTCCATAAAACAATTAGCAGCGGTATGATAAAAATTATTGCATTTGTAGCATTGAGTGACACCCCGAATGGAGTATCCCTCAACGCTGATTTTTAAGTAATGGAGATGAGTGAGTTGACGAATAGTTAAGTTAAAATCGTTACGGGGAAGTGTGACTAGGAAAAAGGGCAGTTCAAGTTTTGTTCGTTTTGATATCATTTGAGTGCAGCTAGTGATAGTAAATCCAAGTTCTTCAAGGTCTATTATAATTTCCTCTGGGAGGGTGACACGCGGTAATCCTTTAATCACGACTTTTAATGGTTTATTTTCAATTATTGGAACGGTGTAGAATTGGAATTGTTTATCGGATTCTAGGAAATGGGATAGACTACGGCTTTGATCAATATTATTAGGGAAAAGCTTGAAATAATCACCGGCAGTTTTTATTTGCATATCAGGAAAAGTTTCATTAATTGTTTTTATTTGCTCTCTATAATTTTTACTAACTTTTAATGTTATGGGGTGAGGGGCTCTAGGTTGCTGTGCAATATTTTCCGTTGTTACTTTAATTATTGGATCAGGGTCTGGAATTAAAGTTTCAAAATTATTTCTTGTTTGGAGGGGTTCAAGAGCTTTAGTGGGGGTGATCGGCCTAGCGGTCTTCTTGGGAAAAGCAAAGCCTTCCGAATCTTCCTTCTCATTTTTTCGCTTTTGCGACTGAATCTTATTTTTGTTCAAATCTGGTACTGGGTTACTTTGGGGTAAAAAGGTATGATCCGGGCAGTTAGCTTCTAAACAAGGAGGTAAATTGCGTAGCTCACTTACCATTCGTTCTTTCTCATCCTCATTCATCTTAATCTTTTTCACTAATTGCTGTGCACTTTTCCAATCTCCTTTGCTTGGTTAAATACTAACGCCGTCTGGTGCTTTGCAATTTCTAACTCCAATTTGTCCAAATCTCTGATAGCCTTTCTTCTTCTCATGCAATCTGACATTTGCCATCCAGTAGATGAGTCCGATTTGGTTGACATGGCCGACCCAGGCCGAATGGACTTCGACGACTCGTCATCTGATTCCGACTGGTTCATTTCCGAAAATATTTACTCAAGTAAAATAGATCCACTCGCTAACAAATGGAGGCAACCCCCTTGATATAAAAGCCCTGAAAAGGGCTACAAAGGACTTTACGTGCTCTCCCTGACTATGCGCAATAAGAATACTGGGAGCTCAGACTAACACGTCTGAACTGCTCGGTGTCTGCACTGGAACTTGTGGATGACTCTGCCTTCTAAGTTGTTTCGTATTCCACGCTTAGCATTAGGAACAATGTTTTTCTAATTTCAATGACATTAGTTAACACACACACACGACGAACCCCGACCGAATTGTATGAATACAAAGTTTAAAGTTCTTTACTAAGGCACCGACGAGATTCGAACTCGCGAATTTCTGTTTACTAGACAATCTCTTTAACCGACTAAGCCACGGCATCGCGTCATACATACATGTTTTGAGTCTGCTAATCATAAATAAGGAAAATTGCACCTAAAATATATCAAATGAAAGAAAATGAACTTTACTAAAAAATACATAAAAAATTATCCTCTCCTTACTAAGCTCTTCCGTATTAAACGACTAGCATTGGACAAAAAGGTTTTTGTATAAAATGTCATGAGCAAATGAACCATTACTTATCCGTATCAATACAAAATTTAAAGTTCTTTACTAAGGCACCGACGAGATTCGAACTCGTGATCTCCTGTTTACTAGACAGGCGCTTTAACCAACTAAGCCACGGCGCCTGCGAACTACATATATGTTAGGAATCTGCTAATCATAAATAAAGAGAATTGCTCCAAAAGTAAATCAAAAGGTGGTTGCTGAACTTTTCTCAAAACTTGTATTGATAAACTATACCCTCCCTTCTAAGTTATTTCGTAATGCAAGCCTAGCATTAGAAACAATATTTTTCTAAATACAATGACATGAGTGAAAGAACCACCACTGATTTGTAACAATACAAAATTTAAAGCTAGTTAAGAAGGCACCGACGAGATTCGAACTCGTGATCTCCTGTTTACTAGACAGGCGCTTTAACCAACTAAGCCATTGCGCCTGCGAACTACATACTTGTTAGCGTCTGCTAATCATAAATAAAAGAGAATTGCTCCGAAAATAAATCAAAAGATGGTTGCTGAACTTTTCTCAAAACTATACCCTCCCCTTCTAAGTTATTTCGTAGTGCAAGCCTAGCATTAGAAACAACATTTTTCTAAATACAATGACATGAGTGAACGACCCACCATTGATTTGTAACAATACAAAAATTTAACGCTATTTAAGAAGGCACCGACGAGATTCGAACACGTGATCTCCTGTTTACTAGACAGGCGCTTTAACCAACTAAGGCACGGCGCCTTCGAACTACATATATGTTAGAATCTGCTAATCATAAATAAAGAGAATTGCTCCAAAAGTAAATCAAAAGGTGGTTGATGAACTTTTCTCAAAACTTGTATTGATAAACTATACCCTCCCTTCTAAGTTATTTCGTAGTAATGCAAGCCTAGCATTAGAAACAATATTTTTCTAAATACAATGACATGAGTGAAAGAACCACCACAGATTTGTAACAACACAAAATTTAAAGCTATTTAAGAAGGCACCGACGAGATTCGAACTCGTGATCTTCTGTTTACTAGACAGGCGCTTTAACCAACTAAGACACGGCGCCTGCGAACAACATAAATGTTAGAATCTGCTAATCATAAATAAAGAGAATTGCTCAAAATAAATCAAAAGATGGTTGCTGAACTTTTTTTCAAAAATTTGCTGTACCCTCCCTTCTAAGTTGTTTCGTAGTGCAAGCCTAGCATTAGAAACAATGTTTTTCTAAATACAATGACATGAGTGAACGAACCACCACTGATTTGTAACAATACAAAATTTAAAGCTATTTAAGAAGGCACCGACGAGATTCGAACTCGTGATCTCCTGTTTACTAGACAGGCGCTTTAGCCAACTAAGCCACGGCGCCATCAAACTTTGTTCATGTTTTGCGTCAGATAATCTGAAATAAAGAGAATTGTTCGGAAAATATAATTCAAAAGAAATATTCCGAAATTTTCTCAAAAATTGTTTAGAAAAACTATCTTTTCCTTTCTAAGTTGTATCGTATTGCATGATAAGTATTGGAAAAAGTGTTCTTTTGAATGCAATGGTATTTGCAAACGAAACACCACTAATTTGTGTCAATACTAAAATTAAAGTTCTTTAAGGAAAGGATGAGATTCAAACTCATGATTTCCTGTGTACTTGACACGCGTCTTAACCAACTAAGACACGGCGCCTGCGATCAACATGCATGTTGTGAGTCTGCTAATTATAAATAAAAAGAATTGCTCCAAAAATAATTCAAAAGAGGGTTTTAGAACTTTTCTGAAAATTTGCATTGATAAAGTGTCCTCTCCCTTCTAAATGTTTTCGTACAGCAAGCTTCGCATTCGAAACAACGTTTTTTTTAAATTCAAAGACATTAGTTAACGAATCACGACAGATTTCTATCAATACAAAATTCAACGTTCTTTACTAAGGCACCGACGAGATTCGAACTCGTGATCTCCTGTTTACTAGACAGGCGCTTTAACCGACTAAGCCACGGCGCCTGCGATCAACATGTATGTTGTGAGTCTGCTAATTATAAATAAAACGAATTGCTCCAGAAATAGTTCAAAAGACGGTTTCTGAAATTTTTTCAGAATTTGCATTCATAAACTATACTCTGCCTTCTAAGAAACGAAAATTAGATGAGAACGAGCGACAGCGAGCTAGCGCTTCTGCTCAGTATGACGGAAAAAGTGTATCGTAAAGCCGATATCAGAAGAGTCCCAAACAAGGGGTGGGGCGGGAGAAACATAGAACTTGGTTTGTGAGCTACGATAAATAGGGTTGACTGACCCGGATGAGGGGAAGAAAATACTATTGAATAATTAGGAAGGTAACATTACTATAGAAATATGATTTAAAAAAAATGAAAGAGGAAAGTTTAATGCTAGAATTACTCCATTAAAGCTTGAAGTATCAAGAAAGCTTGTTGTTTAAAATCATTAGTTGCTTTAATTGCTCTTAAAATGCTTATTAATTTTGGGCATTGCTTCACTATATTAGAAATAATTTTAAAAAGATCCATCAGGTTTTGTACATCATTAAAATTAGTATCAGCAGGGAGGGAAGATTTGAAGGAACTTTGATTTTCACGATTATTTTTTTGGATTGGTGGCTGAGGAGTGGTATTATTGTGGGGTTTTCCCTAAACAACATTGGCAAAAGATATACTTTCTGTAACATTATTGGCGTTGAATGTATTTTTATTTCTACTTATTGTGGGTGGGCTGACTTTGGTTTAGGAAATCTAGGGCATTTCGTGTAGCAGGCAGTATGCCCGTACACGTGGCAGTTAATACAAAAAGGGTTTTCAATTCTCTGGGTTATTTTACATTCTTTGGTCATATGGTTCTTCCCACATTTTATGCATCTTGGTTCCATAAAACAATTAGCAGCGGTATGATAAAATTATTGCATTTGTAGCATTGAGTGACACCCCAGTGGAGTATCCTCAACGCTGATTTTTAAGTAATGGAGATGAGTGAGTTGACGAATAGTTAAGTTAAAATCGTTACGGGGAAGTGTGACTAGGAAAAAGGGCAGTTCAAGTTTTGTTCGTTTTGATATCATTTGAGTGCAGCTAGTGATAGTAAATCCAAGTTCTTCAAGGTCTATTATAATTCCTCTGGGAGGGTGACACGCGGTAATCCTTTAATCACGACTTTTAATGGTTTATTTTCAATTATTGGAACGGTGTAGAATTGGAATTGTTTATCGGATTCTAGGAAATGGGATAGACTACGGCTTTGATCAATATTATTAGGGAAAAGCTTGAAATAATCACCGGCAGTTTTTATTTGCATATCAGGAAAAGTTTCATTAATTGTTTTTATTTGCTCTCTATAATTTTTACTAACATTTAATGTTATGGGGTGAGGGGCTCTAGGTTGCTGTGCAATATTTTCCGTTGTCACTTTAATTATTGGATCAGGGTCTGGAATTAAAGTTTCAAAATTATTTCTTGTTTGGAGGGGTTCAAGAGCTTTAGTGGGGGTGATCGGCCTAACGGTCTTCTTGGGAAAAGCAAAGCCTTCCGAATCTTCCTTCTCATTTTTTCGCTTTTGCGACTGAATCCTATTTTTGTTCAAATCCGGTACTGGGTTACTTTGGGGTAAAAAGGTATGATCCGGGCAGTTAGCTTCTAAACAAGGAGGTAAATTGCGCGTAGCTCACTTACCATTCGTTCTTTCTCATCCTCATTCATCTTAATCTTTTTCACTAATTGCTGTGCACTTTTCCAATCTCCTTTTGCTTGGTTAAATACTAACGCCGTCTGGTGCTTTGAAATTTCTAAATCCAATTTGTCCAAATCTCTAATAGCCTTTCTTCTTCTCATGCAGTCTGACATTTGCCATCCAGTAGATGAGTCCGATTTGGTTGACATGGCCGACCCAGGCCGAATGGACTTCGACGATTCGTCATCTGATTCCGACTGGTTCATTTCCGAAAAAATATTTACTCAAGTAAAATAGATCCACTCGCTAACAAATGGAGGCAACCCCCTTGATATAAAAGCCCTGAAGAGGGCTACAAAGGACTTTACGTGCTCTCCCTGACTATGCGCAATAAGAATACTGGGAGCTCAGACTAACACGTCTGAACTGCTCGGTGTCTGCACTGGAACTTGTGGATGACTCTGCCTTCTAAGTTGTTTCGTATTCCACGCTTAGCATTAGGAACAATGTTTTTCTAAATTCAATGACATTAGTTAACGAAACACCAGCGATTTGTATGAATACAAAGTTAAAGTTTTTTATTAAAGCACCGACGAGATTCGAACTCGCGAATTTCTGTTCACTAGACAATCTCTTTAACCGACTAAGCCACGGCCTTGCGTCATACTTACATGTTTTGAGTCTGCTAATCATAAATAAGGAGACTTGCACCTAAAATATATCAAATGAAGGAAAATGAACTTTACTAAAAAATACATTAAAATCTATCCTCTCCTTACTAAGTTTTTCCGTATTAAATGACTAGCATTGGACAAAAAGATTTTTGTATAAAATGTCATGAGCAAATGTGAACAATTACTTATCCGTATCAATACAAAATTTAAAGCTCTTTAAGAAGGCACCGACGAGATTCGAAATCGTGATCTCCTGATTACTAGACAGGCGCTTTAAGGGGTCACATACCTTTTAAAAAGTTGAAAATGGTTAAAAATAGTGAGCTCTTTAAAGCTCTATAATTTTTTTTATTATTGTTTCCTGGAATGTAAATTTTGGAGGAATAAACAAATAGATATTACTTTTCTTAAAACATAATCAACAAACACAGTGCTAATTAGGATAAATTTTTAATTAGATAATTACAAAAATAAATTTTTGTTTTCTTTTCGCAAGTGATATGCATTACGCGCAGCTTATAAAAAAAGTTACCAATATTTTTTGATGAAATTTTTGCTCAGTGTTGGAAATTGTGTTATCTTTAAAATGACGAAGCATGAAACACTGATTTAAAATTTTTAGTAAACTATAACAATTTAAATTTTAACTATAAAATTTTTAAAAATTTTGCTATTTTATATTTGTAATTTTAAATTTTTCATTAAAAATTCAAACTGGTTCGTTATTTTAAGTACAGATATGATCAGAATCTACAGTAAAATTTTTACCATTTTCCATGGCACGGTTTTGAAAATATCATGCGTAATGAGTAAAAATGACGTTCTGAAAAATAGACATCAAACGTAAAATTTACCACAGTTTTATATATATATTATTCTGGTTACTCAAACAACTAAATTTAAATTAAAACTAATGTGAAGTTTTTTTTAGTCAATAAACTTCAATTTATTAAAATTATTATAACTAAAAACATATATTATACCAATGCAGTACAAGCATCGAAACGATATCAAAAGCTACAAAATAATCAAATGCAACAAAGTGATTCACATTTCTCCAAAATAAAGTTAAAAATTTATAAATATTACTTAAAAACAATCAATACCTTAATTAACAACTACTTATTATAAATATTAAACAATTTGTGATATGAATGCAGTGTATTACTATGATTCTAAAAATGCTAAAATTGCCACATGCATATGATGTTCCCTCTCTTTTTCAGTTAATTTCTTACAAGTAGTTTTATATTGCATTCTTTTTAGCCTGTCGTACTTCTTTTGTGCGGAGATTAAAATGTACTTCTGCAGTCTGAATTCTTTTATATATCTACATGTGTAACAAATTTATGCGCAAATTGACCAACAGTCAGTACCAAACGATTGCATAATTTTTAGTCTGCCTTGATTGCCATCATTAAAAATGACAATTGCCTCATTTGTAGATATGTCAACAATCTTTCTACCACAACCTAAAGTTTTTGGGCATAATTCCCATATTAATGAGTTAATGGATTCATTATTATTTTGGGTTTTACCCCTAGACATTTTTGTAGAAGTTTAGGTTGTGATAGATCATTAAACAAAGGTTTTATGGCATCCATTACTGCCACTGGCAATTTGTTACTGTGTCTAAAACGAACCACACTGCCCTCTACTACTTGATTTTGATATTTACACCAAGAATTAGGACCTACGGGACAAAAACTGTGCAATGGTTCTTCGTCGCTTGAACGTATATGGAAATATACAGCCCAAACAGCTTTCGCATATCTGACAGGCATGTTTTATTTTGTCGGATTGCATTTCCATAGTACGTTGTAAAAGTCGATCATTCTGTCGGTCAACCTTCCCTTTCCCCAAAAACTTCCCATCACTGAGTTTGGAGCTCATTTGTTTTAATTTTCGTAAACGAGTTCCCATTCTTTTTGAACATGTCCAACACATTCAATTTTTGAAACTGTGATATCTTCTCCATATGGATTGGATGCAGTAATAGATGAGAATGTTTTGGAATCGCCATC